CTTCAACATGAATCAGAACCATGCCCTTTTTGAACAGTTAAATTGTTCTCAAAGTTTGTTATATTTACTCAAATACCAGTGGCAACTGAAGCAATAAAGAGATTATTCAGGGGCATAAGAATTCTTCAAAAAAACGGCGCTGCCAAAGTAACTGTGACCACGAGCTGCCTGGTTATTCCCACTTATAGTATAGGAATAGATATATATAGACAGCCTATAGACTTCTCATCTTCAATATTAATTAATTCAAAATCTCAAACATAGTCATTAATTAAACCCTAATTCACCATGGGAGTTTTAGCCTAACCTAACAAAGTTTCAGAGCACAATGGCGATCTTCTTCTTCTCGATAGCAGCCTTACGAATCTCAATTTCAAATCCACAAGTGCCCATCAGAAACAGAACTTTTGAAACAAGTTTCTCTCTTTTAAGGTGAAATTTTCATATTGTGTTAGCGTAGAATGTATAATGAAGGATCAATTATATGTATTATGGTGTTCGGGTAGTAAATAGTGTTAATGCTGATTTCATACAGGATTGAGCAATTTATTCTGAATGTTGAAGAAGATGGCTCAGAAAGAGATAATAATGGAGCAGGATTCAAGAAAGCTGGATGTGACGAAACTACATCCACTTTCACCTGAAGTTATATCCAGGCAGCCTACAATCAACATTGGTAATTTTTATTATAACCTCATTCTTGTTTTCCTGAACAAGTTAATTATGGACTAATAAAATGGTTTAAACTTTTGTTAGGCCTAATTGGCCATGTAGCACATGGCAAAACCACTGTTGTCAGGGCAATCTCTGGTATCCAGGTACCCTTAATTACTCTTTTGTCTGTAGCCCTTTGAATACTTTTTGTTATGTTTGGCCGTCTCAATTTCTTTTGTTTTTTGTTTGATCATCTTGTCCATAAATTATACTAGATAGGAGAAAAACAAGGTTGAAAAAGTGATAACTGTTTTTTCTATAATCTTGTTAATACGAGATTTCTGTGAATTAACCAAATTATAATTTTAGGGAAAATTACGCGACATATACACTGTATTTACCATTCGTAGCTATACTTTCAGCAAATTTAGCATTCGGAGCTATATTTGAATTTTATAGCAAATCCATGAAACTAGTGATTAAGTGTTTTGAACGGAAATAAGAGAGCAACAAGCTCTCTTAGCTCAATTGGTTAGAGGGCCCGCTTAGTTACCGGACATCTTGAGTTCGACTCTCAGCAAGAGCATTTTATTTTTCTATAATTCTGTAATTCGCCTTGGTTGTATTCGTTGAATACTTGTATACACCCCGTATACAGGTGTATCTTTTGTATACACCTTGTAATTCGCCTTGGTTACAGTTGATACAACAGTTACGCGAATGAATACAATTGCACGAATAGTAGTTATTAATCGTAATTAGACAAACTATAGTTACTAGGCTCTAAACTATAGTGCTTTATGAAAAATCCTCTAATTTTTACCTCTCGTTTAACTTGCTTTTATGGAGCTCTTACTTTTTTATGACATCTAATTATCAGACTACTCGATTCAAATGTGAACTGGAGTGTAACATAACTGTGAAACTTGGATACGCAAATGCAAAGATATACAAATGTGAGGATGAAAGTTGCCCGCGGCCCTTATGCTACAAGTACGTATGTTAATGTGAATTATTTGTTCCCATGCTTTCTTGAAGAATATATTGTTAAGATCTACCTAATTTTTTAGGTCATATGGAAGTGGTAAAGAAGATAATCCTCCATGTGATGTTCCTGGATTCAAGAACTGCAAGATGAAACTGCTCAGACACATTTCTTTTGTAGATTGCCCGGTATGGCTACTTCATTCGTGGAACCTTAAAACATTGCTGCACTTGGCGACAAGCTAGTAGAATTTGTTCTTTGCATTTATATTTTGCTACAGAATTCTTATAAAACTGTGAAGAGCCTTTATTCTGAATTTTGGCAATATAATTTAGGATTGATCACATGGTAACTCGTCTGAATGATCCCTGCCTTGAAATTGTTTTCTTTTTTTATTTTATAGTCATGCTGCTTTTTATCTTTCTAGGAGTTGGTATGTTTAGGATTATAGGTGATAAGTCAGTTTTTCCGCGACTTGAAACCTGGCAAAGCATCTGTACTTTTTGCCAAATGTGTTACCTCAAAATTTTGGTGGTCCCATTAATCTATGAGTATTGAGTTACAATATTACTACATTGTAACTATATTTAGCTTTGGCTGCTTTGTTATGACTTGGTGTAGGGGCATGAGATACTGATGACTAGAATGCTGAGCGGGGCAACAATTATGGATGGAGCTTTTCTTCTAATAGCTGCCAATGAAAGTTGTCCTCAGCCCCAGACTCTAGAGCATTTATCTGCTGTTGACATCTTGAAGCTCCAAAACCTAATCATTCTTCAGAACAAAGTTGACATTATACAGCAGGATCAAGCTAGAAATCAGTATAAAGCAATCCGTGAATTTCTCAAGGTTAGTCATTCCAAAGCGTTTTGCAAGTTGATTACCTGGTATTTTAACATTTTGCTAAAGAAGAATTCATCTCATACCTATCAGGGAACAGTTGCAGAAGGTGCACCAGTAGTACCTATTTCAGCGCAGCTTCAGTACAACATTGATGCTGTTTGTGAATATATTGCAAGGATTCCCATTCCAAAGAGAGATTTTGTATCACCTCCCCGTATGGTTGTGATTCGATCTTTCGATGTGAATAAGCCTGGTTGTGGTATTGATGACATGAAGGGTGGTGTTGTAGGTGGAAGTATCATTAAGGTACATTCCTGTTGTCTGGGGTTGATGCAAATTGTTCTCATAACTGTTATTACTATCTGCCACACACTATAAAGAACATCTTTTAATGTATCTGATGAAAGTTGTCTTTTGACAATTCCCACTGATCAATTTTTGGAAGCTGTTGATAACCAAGTAATGATTAAATCTGAGTTTAACCTTTAAATACTTTGTTATGTCTAAACATATATCATTGACCTCTTGTTCTCAGGGTGTTTTAAAAGTAAATCAGATGGTTGAGCTTCGTCCAGGCATCCTTGACAAAACTGCAGATGGAAAAATCATATGTAGACCAATATATTCCAGAATTATGTCATTATTTGCAGAGCAGAATAAGCTTCAGTTTGCTGTGCCAGGAGGCCTTATTGGGGTCGGCACATCAATGGATCCTTCCCTATCACGCAGCGATATGCTTGTTGGTCAAGTCCTTGGAGACGTTGGTACACTCCCTGAAGTGTATATTGAACTTAAGGTTAGCATGCATTCTTTAGCATTTTTAGCTTTTGTTGTAATATCTTTTATTGCTTACTAAATCATTCCATTTATAGTTCCTCCTGATACATTTGACCATTTATTGTTTGACCAAATCACTAGGAATATGTGCCTACACTAATCCTCTTGGCAACTTATTTCTCATCATCTTTTATCTGCAGATCAGGAAAATTAAACTGCTGCGTCGGCATGTAGGGGTTGAGAAAAAAGAGTCAGAAATGCAGGTATCGAATCTGGTAAAGGGTGAGGTACTAATGCTGAATATATTGTCCATGGCAACTGGGGCTCAAGTCATTAAAGCGAGAAATAACAGCGCGAAATTGCAACTAACTGCACCTGTATGCACTGGCATAGGCGAGAAGGTGGTGCTCAGCCGTCGGGTTGGTGGCCACTGGCGTCTCATTGGGTGGGGTGAGATTGAAGACGGAGTGGCACTAGATGTGCCACCCACTCCTGCAGATATTCTCTTTACAGTGTGAACTTGTTCTTTCTATTTTATGAATTGCTTTCTAATGAGTGTTTCTTTTTAGCTTTTGTTCCTATGAATTTGTATTGTCAGACTTGTCGAACAATAGATTATTGGCATGACACATGCTTACTTCAAGTATTTGTGGATTTTATCCGCTGACATGCTTTGTGAAATTTCATATTTTAGTCGGTTAATGAGCTATGGATTTAATTCAGATTCCTCTTTCTTCGACATTTTTTCCTTTCTAAAATTTGAGAAGATTAGTACAGGGGTACATGTTGTTTTAATACGTCTATTGTGAATTCAAAATGGTCATATAAACCATTGCTAAGACTGCTACTGCGCTGGATGCACAGCTACAAGTTAATAAGTGAAACAATTTCTGGTTCCTTAAACGAGTCACTATTTTATTGCCACTTGGTACATTTGAAGGAGGAGAATATACCCAAGCCTTCCTTACGAGATGTGATAGAGGGGATTCTGGATCAACTAACCGTCCCTCATAAAGCAAAACAACAAAAAATGTAGCGATAAAGTTGTTACCTCAAGGAAGCTCATAAATTAGCCAGCTTGGTTTTCTCTTCTTGACTCGAAATGTAGGAAGGAGCCATCAGTCAGCATTTATTAGCCCTCTAACCTGGTGAGGCAATGTATCAAAGTTAGTGTCGATGCCATTTTATCAGCAACTTTCTTTGCTTTTCTAAAACAGTGTCCGGTAATAACCCCAACTCTTTCCACAGCACCATTAGTTGTCTCTCTCTGTCAGCTATCTTCCATGGAGGAGAGAATCTTTCTCACCAACGATTAAGTTGTACCCTTTTGAATGCACCGGTTAATGCCAAATAGGAGAGATCTAGCTTTCACCTTGTTAATAATGTTGAATAATATTAAGGAGGTAGATCTAGCAATGGAAGGATTGGAGGTCTGATCCGTTTTACTACTAATGTTGGTTTAATAACAAGTAAGACTGAACCTTCATGCTAAGGACAACAATAACACTAACTATCAATCCTAAATAAGTTGAGAGATTTAGCTTTCTCAGCTTTTGTTTATATGTTACAGGAAACTGATTGCTTATTCTTTAAATAGCTCCCTGAGAAACATTAAATTTTGTTAAATATATAAGTCCTTCACTAAAGGGATAAAAAGAACTTCAATTTAGAAAGAAAGTTAACTACATTCTACATCTCAAAATAAGTATGCCTAACAATGATTGATGTAAAACAGAGTATAGATTGAAAACACCGTAGGTAGAAACAAGGGGTTTCATTGATTTGACTATGAGGAACAACTACCACCAAGTTCAGAATAACAACTATATTCTTCTCAAATTCCCTCACCAACATTACATACAAAGGGGAAATAAACTAACAGAAGTTTCAGTTTCAACAGTCACTAAAAAAAACTCTAAGCTGCGGCTTTCCTTGGAGATTTTGTGGCCTTAGCAGGAGATTTCGGTTCCTTTTCAGCACCAGTTTTCTTAGGCAACAAAATCGGGTTGATATTTGGAAGAACACCGCCATGAGCAATGGTCACACCCGCAAGAAGCTTCCCTAGCTCTTCATCGTTCCTCACAGCCAACAGAACATGCCTTGGAATAATTCTGTTCTTCTTGTTGTCACGCGCTGCATTCCCAGCCAATTCCAGCACCTACAATAATTTATGGTAATTTTTTCAATAAACTCACTTAATGTGTTAAGCGTGTTCAAATCACATATAAATAACTACAAACCCCATTTTTAATTAGACAAAAAATAAGTCCAAAACCGAAAGCAACACAGGGAAAATATTGAAACCCCGAATCAAAGAAATACTAACTTATCCCAAATCAAATTTTCAGATAATATGACTTACTTCAGCGGCCAAATACTCAAGAACAGCAGCCAAATAAACCGGAGCACCACTTCCAACACGTTGAGCATAACGACCCTTCTTCAGGTAACGACCAATTCTACCGACCGGGAATTGAAGACCGGCTTTGACGGACCGGGAAACCGGCTTCTTCGATTGGCCGCCAACCTTTCTGCCGCCGGCACCCTTTTTCGCTTTTCCGGCAGTATCCATTTGGAAATGATAAAGAACAAAGTTGTGATTTGTGAAAAAGAATTGATATTATCAGTTGATTGTCTGAGCGGTAGATGTGGATGGGTGTATTTTGCGTGTTTGTTGTATTTATAGTGGAATTTCTGGTATTCGGTTTTCGGATTGGTGATGAGGGCCGTTGGATTTTGATATAATCTACGGTGCAGGATTCTGTAGAAGCGATCCGTGTCGTTTTGAATGGACCAATGAGAAGCGAGGGTTAGTTTGAATTTTGGTAAAAGAATAATTTTCCCGCCTGGAAAGGAATAAGCTTTTCCCAATGTGTTTTTCTTTTACAGAATTAATATAGGTAGGGGAAAACTCCAATTTAATTAAGATATAAATAAAGGTTACTGAATCCAGGAAAAAAAGTTACTGAATACAAATAAATCAATTGCTTTGTGGCCTCGTGAACATTTTTCAGAATTTTATTAGCTTTTTGCTCATCTGGTCCAGAATTAATGATGTTATTGCTATATTTGAGAAGTCATGTGTAATTTTTTCGCAAATATCTTTTAAATATCTTAACAATATTTCCTTTACTAGTATTATTTATAATATTTTTACTTAATTTTTAAATATGTAACTTTTGTTAAAATTATATCAAATATATAGAAGTTAGATATATTCATTCCAGTAATAAATCTGCCCGTCGTTTTTATAGATAAAGGAAGTAGTGTGGTGGCAATTTTTTAAAAAAAATATTGGACTCCACACCTCTTGGCCATCAGATGAGACATGTAATTATATTTTTCTGGCACGACAAATTCAAGAATGTAAACACTTTGTTCCTGGTCTATTGGCTCCTACAAAGGCTCATATGACTCGATTTTCATGTCATCGTCCAAATACAAAATTGAAAAAAATGTATGGAATGAGGGCCAATATGCCGCAACTCTAGAATTGTATTACTATTTACATCCTCGTACGTACACACAATAGAGTCTTCAAGTAGCATATTATCTACTTCCTCACATGACTCTAGTGCATTCTTCTCCACGTCGACATCATCAACAAAAATATGATCGAATAATTGACTATCCACTTTTAGCTCCTCAATTTAGCGTATAAGCTCCTTTTCAGCTTCACATATTTTAGTATTATTTTGTTGTGCAGTAGATACAACAATCTTTGCATCCAATTGAGCTTCCAAGTCGTGAATAGCACTGCCAAATCTGTTGATTGTCTTGTCCAAACTAATATCTTATGTTTATTAGGTGTTTAATCCCATCTGTAATTTCCTCACTTTGATATTTCCAATTTTTTAGCTTGTTCCATTTGGCTTAAAATTTCCACTTGTTCAAAAAATTTCACTTGTTCAGAAATTTCCTCTTGATGGAACTCGCTCTCTTCTTCAATTTGATGCTCTTCCTGAATATCAACTAAGTCCGCAACTTGTTGATCATTGAATATTTTCATTAGTCCATTTACTTTGGTCTTTATGCTCTTCATTGTTGCCCTGAGATCTTTTCTAGCTTTTCGGTTTTCATCTCCTTGCTCTACTAGTTTATTAGTTTGCTCCACTAGATGCCTCACATATTTATTATATGAGAATCATGTTCCACAAGTCTCCATATCGTTGTTCCTATCAAACTCACAAACATTATTAGAAAGATCATAATAAGGACTCGGAGAAGGATAAAAGATTTAGGACAATCACCATAATAGCGCCAAAAACTATTGACTAAATTAGACTATCCTAATTATCTAAACAAGGATCATAAACTTGTTGCAGCCAAACACACATGCAAGTACACTCGATCGCCAAGTAATAAAGTGACTAGAAGCCGGATGTCGAACCCACAAGGACTTGTTATAAACTATTGACTAAATTAGACTATCCTAATTATCGTTGGTTGCTTTGTGTAGTGATTGTGGCATTGTGTAGAGGTCATATAGAGGATTCCCAACTTGAAATTTATAAATGTTTTTGAGAGCTTTAAATTGTTTTGTTATTGTTTTAACGGCTATTTAATCTCTTTATTTGTTTCTATGATTCGTCACATTTATGTTGCACTTCCAATCCTTGAAGAGGGTCTTTGGTTTTCATACTAGTACTATTCGACATGTTCTAACCCTCTTTTTACCGGGGGCGCTGCATCTTTAATGGATGCAAGCTGCAGACGACTTTGATCAGTGATATCGGTGCACCTTCCTCCCAGCTAACTTGGTGAGCCCCACTTTATTTCGGGATCGTATATTTTTTGCTTTTTGTAGATTTAGTTTTGAGGTATATCCGGGGCCTTGTTACTGGCACTATCATTGTACTCCTTTGTATATATTATAAGCTCCATAGACATAGTGTGGGTAATATGTCGGTGTTGGGAAGGTCAAACTAGTAATGTTTAATTGAAAAATTATAATTTTAACCTTTTAAAAAACTATAAATAACCTCCCTTTTTCTTCTTCTTCATTTTTTCTCATAATTCACTCTCTTACTACTCTAATTCTCTCTCAATTCTCTCTTGATATTATTGATTATTGTTCTTAAATTTCCAATTACTTATTATTTCAAGTTTCATCAAATATTTAGTTTATCCATTACAAAATTATTATTATTAAATATCAAGTATTCAAATAAAATGTGGTATCGAGTACTATCAACTATCAAGTATCGGTCTATCAATTGAAGTTTGATTTATTATATCAAAATTAGAGCGGCATCCGGAATCCCGGTACACTCGTTCCATCTCTTTCTCTTCTTTGGTGTACACTTATTTTATTATTTGAAATTATTAATTTAATTTCTTAATTTAATTTACATAATGAATTTACTTAGAGTAGCTAAAAAAGTGTGCACTAGCAGAGGTGGTAGTAAGAAAACTTCCAAAAGATCAAGAGGTGGTGTTGGTTCTTCTAGTAGCTTTACATATATTTATGAAAGTTCACCTGAAAATTTAAATGTAGATTGTGAGAGAATGCAAGAAAATTATGGTATAGATGCTGATTTAGATGATATTCAATCATCCGATAATCTTGAAACACCACTAGCTACACCTGATAATGCTAGTCAAACTCAAAATATTAGGGGTGGAACAAGTAAGACTCCCCTTCCTATTAAGAAGAATCGAAGATTAAAAAGTAAGTCTTGGAATTTTTTTGACAGACTAGAAGATCAAAAAAATTATGTAAAATGTAGAATTTGTAATGAACTTTATAAACATGAGCCCGATAAGGGAGGGGGAACGGGTCAACTTCGTAAGCTTATAGTAGAGCTCTACCCTCTTGATTGGGGAGTAGATGAGGAAGATGGGCAACAAAAACTTAACCCGAGTATTGGGGGGTTAATGGGTACATACGATATTAAGAAAGATCGGGAAGAATTAGCTAAAATAATTGTTTTAGGTTGTTTACCTTTTAGTTTTGCTTCTTCACCGTATTTTGTTACTTATATTCAAAGAATTTATAACCCTTTGTTTAAAGGTATTTCTAGAAGTACTTGTAGAGCTGATATCTTTAGGCTTTTTGGACAATATCAAACATATATACGTTATTTGTTCGTCATTCTTTCTTGTAGAGTTTCTCTTACTTCTGATATTGGTCGTGCTGTAAATGGAAATGATTACCTGACTGTTATATACCACTGGATAGATGATAATTTTTGTACGCAAAAACGTATTATTATTTTTAAATATGATGAAGATCAAAGTCATACTAGTGCATTTATAAGTAATACTATCCATGAAGTTGTTATATTTTATAATCTTGCAGAAAAAGTTTTGTGTATGTCATTTGATAATGCTTCTAACAACAATGTTGCTATTACAATATTAAAATTTCATCTACACCCACCACTTCCTGAAATATTTCATGTTAGGTGCATGTCATATTTATAACTTGATTGTGAAGAGTGGCCTTGAATTATTTAGAAATGAAATCACTTTAGTTAGGAGAGTTGGTGTAATTCACGGTTTTGGTGTGATAATCAAGAATAGCATAATGGGGCGATAACCAGTCCATGCCCAAGATACTGCCAAAATCTACCATGCTGAGCAACAATAAATCGGCTCTGGTCTCAAAACCACTAAGAGCAACCAAACACGATTGATAAACATGGTCCACGATAAGAGAATCTCTCACAGGAGTAGAAACATAAATAGGGGAGCTCAAAAAATCCTGAGATACACCCAAATGCGGAGCAAAATAAGAAGACACATAAGATTAAGTAGATCCTGGATCGAGTAGAACCGATGCATCTCTGTGACAAACTAGTATAATACCTATAATGATAGAATCGGAGCCAACAGCCTCAGTACGGGCAGGAAGGGTATAGTATTGGGCCTGGCCTCCCCCTCTAGGGCGACCTGTACCTCCCCGACCTCCACCTCTGGCTGGCTGAGTAGGTGGGGTAGCAACTGGAGCTGTAACTATAGCCTGAGAACTCTGCGGGGCACGTTGTGACTGAGAAGTCTGTGGGGGTGCACTCCTCCCAAGTCTAGGGCAATCCCTTACTACATGGCGTGTGTCACCACACTCAAAACAAGTTATGGGAGGACGTGGTAGTTGTGACTGGCTTGAGCCCGGTCTGTTGGACTGACCTCTGAAATCACCCTGCGTAGGAGGCGCGCTAGAAAACGGAGGTGCATAATAAGGCTTCTAAGGCCTAGGAGGAGCTGGAATATCACTGGCTGCTGGAAGAGCTGAATGAACAGGACGACTCATATAACCCCTACCATAACGACCTGCAGCTGGGACACGGGCACCAGAGAAATGGCCCGACTCTCGAGACCTCTTGGCCTCTCTCTCCCTAGAATGCATACCCTCAATCCTCTTAGCAATGCTCACCACCTATTGATAAGAGATGTTCATCTCCAACTCACGAGCCATGCTAGACCTGATGCTAGGAATAAGGCCCTTAATAAACCGGCAAACCCTTTCGCGACAGTAGAAACCAAGACTGGGGCATGTCTAGCCAAGCTAGTGTAACAGACAACATACTCTGAGATAGTCATAGCACCCTGGCGCAAATGCTCAAACACTGCGCCATGCGTCCCTGAGGATTTGAGGAACATACTCCCTTAGGAACAGATCTGAAAATTGAGTCCAAGTCAGTGAAGTAGCCTCATCCGGACTGT